CCTGGTCTTCTCCCCGGTTGCACATCCCCTCTCCCCAGCCTTTCACCCCCATCTGGCCACCAGAGGAAAGCAGGGACTGAGCCAGAGGCAGTGGGGGCTGCAGCAGCAGCTCCTTGCTGTGCTGGGGGCCCCAACGTTCCAGGACCCAGAAAGGACCTGTTACCTCCGGCTGCTCGGCCCAAGCCTGCTGGGGCCACTGCATGCTTGGGATCCTTCCCCCACCTCAGCCCCCCGCCCTCTCCCAGCAAGATAAGTGCACCAGCACCAACTTCCTGCCAGGGGAGAGAGAAGACAAGAAAACCTCGAGGCTGCACACTGGAGGCGGCTCATGAAGAAGCATGCACTGCTGAAGTGAAGGGGTAGAGAGGGGGAGGGAGGGTGCAGGTAGTCGACAGGATTAACCGATAAATTCAGGTTTATTGGTTAACCATGTAGTCAACTACAAGTTGACAACCTTAAATTTCACACAAATATATTGTAGCAAAGGGAAGGCGCCGGCAAACTGCATGTTTTGCAACATCTGGGTACTCTTGAATCAGGTTATCCCAAAAGTTAATTAGCAGAAATTAACTGAAATTGTCTGAACTGGTAATCAGAAGTCACATCTGTCAGGCTCTCTTTCCTGAGCTGATAAGCCAACTGGCTTGGCCTTTATTAAAAATGGATTTCTCACCCAAGAGTGGTCATCATTTGTGGGAGGAAAGTATTCTAAGAAAGGAGCTCAAGTCACACAAGTGCTTTACAAAGTCACTGAAAAGGTCTACATTGAGAGTGGAACTGATTTCAATCAAAAGGTCATCCAGTATAGGAAAGCAGTCTAAGTTCTTTTCTTCTACAGGTGATGCCCCAAACTCTAGTTTTTGCAATAGAAATAGAAAATGTTCAACTTTATTCCTTGCAGCAACAGATTAACTTAATTCAGCTTGGTGAATTTATCTGCAGGATACACAAGTCTCAGTAGCCATGAGTAATCTGTCAAACAACCAGACAGTCAATGTTTGGGATCTACAAAGTAAACTAATGCTTCATAACAAAGCTCAAAAGTCTTAAGAGCACTTTTCCTTTGTGGTAGTCACCTCAGCTCCATATATTGAAGCAGCACTGTGAGATGACTCCCATTTCCTCACACAATTTGGACTGTCTGGCTTGTAGTGGTCTTGTTTTAATGTATTAGTAATTTGCACCACTTCATCCAGAACATTTTTAAGAACTACAGGCATCTTCTTAACAGCAAGAACTTGTCTATGGAGAACACCATGACGGATGGTGCAGTTTGGCGCCATAGCTGTGTTTCGCCATACAGCTCCGGCCATCTTCCCAGCCACTGTCCTGGCACTGGCGCCACACGTATCAATACATTTTTCACAACTAATTTCATGTATTGGAATTATGCTGTTGTTAATACAGTTAAATATTTCTTCACCAGTCATATTTCTATGCAAGGATTTCCATATTAGCAAGTCCTCTTCCTAGGTTTTATCAAACATAACAGACAAACACAAGTAACACTAAGCTCTGTCACATCAGTGGACTCATTCAGTTGCAGAGAATACGCAGCACAAAAATCAGTCAAGAAACTAGCTCTCAATATCAGCAGCAAGATCTTGAATGAGACGCGCAACATTATTTTTTTATGGCAGCACTGCTTCCACTTTTTAACTAAATTGTTCATCAAGTATACACATCACAATATCTTTTGCACAAGGCTTGATGCGTTTTTCTGGACTTGTGTATGCAGCACGTGCAATAGGGTAGCTCACTTTGCAGGATGCTTCTGTTGAGTATTCATTTTCTTTTAGCAATTTTCATCACTGAAAGTGCACCAAGCTTTCACTTGAAAAGATGTATGCCTTTGACTTTGTGTTCAGAAGCACTTGTGTCTAAATGCCTTTGTAGTTTAGCAGGTATCAGAGAACTACTATTAGAAAGTACTTTGTTCAACACCACACACTGTGCTTTAGGAACATCTTTATTTTCAATGCAGGTAAATTCAAAAGACAATAACGCTCATCATACTTGCGCTTCTTATTGCCTGCTGCTAATCCCATGCATGCAGTTTCCTCTGACAGCTCACTTTCCATTTTTTCAGTCACAAAAGGCTTCGATTGTTCTTTTCCTATACCAAAATTTTGCTCATTTGTTTCAGCTGAAGTCCAAGTGTTAGAAGCCAAAGTTTCTTTCTTAGCCACTTATCCATGGAGAATATGTTTGGTAATAAAAATAGAGAAAGATGTATTGTGAAATGTTGAATGAAAATGCAGCATGAAGAGGCACTGTACTGCAGCAGGCTTCAGTACAAAGAAAATGGGAAATAAATGTCATTTAGCAGCTCGGGGGCAAAGCAAAAGTCAAGGCAGGTATCTAAGTGGGCGGAGCTTAGGGCAGAAGGTTGGGGTGTGGGAGGCACATGAGTCAAGATTTGGGATGGAGGTCTCCAGACAGTGGGATGGGGAAGTTCAGGGGGGGGGTGAACCTTGCCATACTCCCTCTCTCCCCCGCCATACTTACCAGGATGCTGCTTGTGTTTTCCTTCTTGCCACTGTTATTGAATGCAAAATGCACAGTTTGTCTGCCCTCCTCTGCGAGAGTGAGAAATGCAGCCAACTGTGCACTTTCCCCTCACTCCCTGTTGAGAAGGGGAACAGCTGGCAGCATCTCCATTCAAATCTTTGGAGGAAGGAGCTTCAGCTGCCCCCATCTCCCTAAGTGGTGCCCGGCAAATGAGAGGCTTGGAGCTGAGGCAGTTCCAGACTGGTGGGGGCATGCCCCCACATCTGGGGCTCCTTTCACCTGCCTGCTCCTTAGTACAACCACCTGTAGCAGAGCCCCAGGAGCCAGGCTAAAAGCGTGTCCCACTTCCTCTTGCAGCAGAGTGCCCCAGCCAGCCAGCTCCTTCTTGCCCGAGTGTGACACCAGATCACACCGACATACATTCACCTCTGCTTGTGGAGAGGTTGGTCAGATGGCTGAACTGAGCATTTGAAGCATCTCATATGTGTTATCGAGTCTACCGCTCATGTGCATCTTGCTGTATACTACTGCAACATCTTCATGTACATGAGCTGACGTCTGTGTTTTGCTGAGTTATGAATAGTTTTATATACCCTTGCCCTCTTTTCACGTCACAGGGTTGAGCTCGTTTATTGAGAATTATTGTAACAATATTCAATCTAACAGGCTATTTATAAAAACAGTCTTCTCAACTTTTAATAAAAAAATGTCGCTCCATATGGCTGTCATTAATATTTTCTTGTTGAGCCCCTGGATTCATCACATGGAGCCACTGGGCTCCACAGAGCACACTTTGACACATCCTTCATTAAAGGGTTCTCCCCTGGAGTAAGTAACTGTTACAGTAAATAAAAAACACGTAGCATCTACCCATTTTAACACTGATTTTCATCACTACTATTTCCTATTTGTTGAAACTGACATTCACTAGGCTCTCTCCTGATCATTCCATCTTATTTACTTGCTAGCAGATGTACCTGGCACTGCTTGAGTTTGTACCTGAAGGGATTTTTCTTAAATAAACGAAAAATATACATGCATTATTTCAATGACTATTTTTCAAAAATGAAGGAAAATGAAAGTTGGAGTGAAAGTTCAGAGGTGAGAAAGTGCAGGGGAAATGAAGATGTGGGGGCTCAGGGAAGGGGAAGGGGGAGGGGGAGTTGAAGTCAAGGCAGGTGGTAGGTACAGGACTAAGCCCAGGAGGCTCAGGACAGGATACTAAGGGGGGCAAGACTTACCAGGGACCACCTGTGGAAGCAAGGGTGGTGCTGCTCCAATGGTGACCCCTTCCAGGGAGTGAGGCAGCACTCCCTGGCAGCACCTCCTCCCCCGCCCCTCCTCGAGCTGCCTCCCATCGCATCATGCAGGCTGTCTAGGAGGAAAAAGGCTCCAGGGGCTGCCCTCTCCTGCAGCAACCCTCCCTCCCCCTCCCACAGCCTGCAAGCTGTGGCCTGCACGCTGACTGGGAGGACAAGGCTCTGGGGGATGCCCCCTCCTGCGCTGCTCCACCCATAGCCTGCAGCCTGTCTGGGGAGGAGCCAGGCTTTGGGGGCTGCTCCTCCTTCTAGCTGGCCTACAGGCTGTGAGGGAGGAGGCTCCAAAGGCTTCCCCCATTCCAGCAGCTTGCAGGGCCCAGGGGTGCTATCTAGGAAGGGGCTAGGCTCTGGAGACTGGAGCCTGCTGGCCTGCCGGCTCTCCATAAGGGGGTAGGCTGTGGGTTTGAGACAGGGTGCTCCTTACTCATGTGCTAGTAGACAACATGGCAGAGCCCTACTCGGGGCTGTGGCCTCTCAGTGCAGTAGCTGTTCCCTGTAGCCACTCAGTATTTCATCCCTCCAAATCTCTGTCCCCCTCCCCTTTTCATTCCTCCTCTCTCTGCCCCTCCATTTCCACATTATCGAAAATAGTCCCATTCCCAACACTTTGCATTTTCCAGGCACAACCAAATCCTGACCATGGTTTTAGTTAGGATAAGGAGAAGCTGCATACCAAATTTGGTGGTCCTAGCTCTTACAGTTTAGGAGGCATTCTTGAACGGACAGACGCAAAGAGAGACACACTCTAAAATACAGATAGATTTATTATTAATAGTAGGCTATATATTTTCATTGCTGAGTGTAAAACAAGGCCCTTTTTCTGAAGCATTTACTGCACTCTTGACTCATAACAGATAAGAACATGTTATCAAAAGGAACTGATACAAGCTCTTGACATCCTCTCTAAATCACAGGTCCCAAATAAAAAAAGCTAATAAGCAAGGGGAAGGGGGACATTCCAGACATTCTCTTAAGTTATCTCTACTTGATAGCATCCTTGAAACATTTTTGTGCAGCTAGTCTCAGCTTCTGTTTCATTGCACAGTTTTTAAAATACAGAACCAAGGTCTAAGACTATAGTTCAACTGATACTTTTTTAAAAGTACGTAAATATTTGCCTGTAGAAACTGAACTCTGAACCATTCACTCACTTGGATATCACTAGCTTACCTTTACATGACTGAAGTCACCAACCTTACAGCTTTCAGCTGGATTCATAGGTTTGCTCTCAACTCGTGGTTTGACAATCTGTCGAAAAGGACTGGAAAGAGGTAGTCCACTAACACTTATTCCATCTAGAAAAATAAAGAATCAGAATTTATTTTGTTTTTAAGTTTTAAGTAACATACCAATCTGCCTTATTCTAAAATAGCCTTAATTCATTATCAGATGGGGGGGGCGGGGGACATCAGGGAATGAAACAATCACTCTATATCAAAAAAAGTTAAAGAAAAGATGTGGTCATGATTTTGGTTCTGATGTAATGCTGACTAAAGGCAACAGAAAGCTACCCATTGACTTCAATGCGCTTTGGATGATATTCTCTAACTAAACTGGTACATTAGAATTCAATAAAATCCACAAGAAAGGATAACACAAAAAGGTACACAAAAGATTTATAGTGACCGGTGCTTACTAAATTGAGATACACAAAAGATAGATTTCATTCATTGCAATTATAATGAAAAAAAGCACTAAGCATAACTACTAACAATGCCTTGGGGGCTCTTGTGAATTTCAAAGCCATGGAGTCCAGGGTCAGCGGGGGACTCACAGTTGACCCCAGGTTCTAGAGAAATGACTCCCCAGCTTATCCCGGGTTCTGGTGAAATGACATGAGGAGCTAAGGGTCAGCTGGGGAGTCCCCAGCTGATACCAGGTTCCACAGCTGCCTCTTTGAAAGGCTCACAGGTGGCATTTTAAAGAGGCAGCCACTGCACAACTGATCCACAGATCAGCTGTGCAGTGGCTGCCCCCTTTGAAAAGCCGCCTGGGGGTTTCAAAGTAACTTTGAAGTACCCCTTCATCCCCTTTTGATGCCTCTATCTGATAGAGGCAGCAAAGGGGAAGGGGGATATCAACTAGTCAAAATACTATCTGATAAGCAAATGCTTATCAGATAGTCAACTAGTCCTTTACATCCTTACAGAAGAGCAGTGGGCCTGGCTGTGTTAGTGCGCTGCAGGCGGGAGCCTACTCCAACTGTGCCAGGCGCCAGAGAACTGATTACCCTGTAAGCATGCCAGTAAGGCAATGCTTACCAGGTAACCAGTTACCCCTTTACATCACTAGAAATAATACAAATGCATAATGGAAACCTAAGTTCTGTATTGCAGTACTCATCCCAAAACAATGAGAAGTACACATTTTCAGAGGCATATTCTCAACTTTATATTTTACTAGTAGCCAGTATATATTGGTATATAAGCACACACAGTAATCGAAAGAAATATCAAGACAACTTTTATTACCAGTTGAACACCTCTAAACCAGACTTCCCTAGTCCGGAAATACCTCTGGTCCAGCATCATGGGTGACCCCCAGCTTTGGGGCTGGCTGTGACCAGGAGCTTAGCTAGATTAAAATCATGAAGCCACAGAGTCCAGAAGCACAACTCCTGTGCTCCAGTGAGCAAAAGCAGCAGAACCCCAGCAGAGCTCTAAGAGCAGAACCAACAAAGGCATGGCACCCCAGGAGAGGAGAGGTAAACATTGACCTTCCTTGGTACAGCAAATTCCCTTGTTCAGGACCTGTCGTGTCTCGAGGGTGCTGCACTACCGAGTCTCAACTTGTACTAATAAACCTACATACTTTAATGAAAGGAAAGAAGAAACTTATTCATTTGAATTGTAATTTTTTTCATTATATTAAAGACCACATACTAAGCATAAATTGCGAAAACCTTTACTAAGGAGCACAGTCATAGCTCAATATGTAGAATTTTAGCTCTAATGCTAAAAGATTGAAGAAAAACCTATTTTATTCCCTTGTACTACACAAAGCAGCAAATAATTTCATATACTAATTAAATCCAAAGTGAAGTGGAAACCTAATTTCTGTTTCCACAAAAGTCATTTACACCAAAGTATAGGAGTACCATGGAATGACTATATAAAAGCAAAACAAAAGGAGAAACTTCAATTTTAAGTAAAAGTTTGAAAATAATGTGCTGATTCTTCCAGCAACAATAAATATAATAGCTTGTTAGCTACCAATTTAAGAAGAAATGGTGCACCATATGTAATTTTTGAGGTATAAACAGTTAAACCCCACTGCCGCATCTTTAGACAAGATTCCAGCTTAAGATTCCACTTGGCTTGGTAAACACATTGCTATATTTTAACAAAGAAATAATTGACAAATGTTTCTATATGTGGTTGTTATAAAATTCATACTTTCTATTTCTCACATTTAAAAATGGCAAGTATAAATTAATTTTTTATGTACAGTCAATTTTCTCTACAGCTATGAGCTGAATTGGATAAAATAAAGAGCCATATACTGAGTCAGTGTCAAAATCATTCTTATATACTGTATTGTCTTCAAAAAATACCCCCGTCAAAATTTAATTATAACATCAAAAACTTCACTTCAATAAATAACATCAGGTATTTATCTATGCAGAGGTGGCATGGCCCAAAAACTAAAAACAAAGAAAACTGAATGCCTAACTAAGGTCCCATTTCATAGCCATTCTGTAGATGAGCCCAAGTGTATGACTGTTTTATTGTATACCTCAACCTATGCATCCTTCCCTCCATAACATATCTAAAATCATATCCCTTCACTCTGTGCAGAGGACCTCCTAAAGTCACAGTCATTCACAATTATCTCATATTTCATTATAACTCCTTGAGACAGAGAAAAGGATGAAAACATATCCCCCCAGCATACTCTACAGGTTCAGACACTAGAAGGCAAATTAAAGGAAAGCGCAAAATGCATTATCTATCTTAACATCTCATAATTTGGGGGCCTGACTTATGAGTTTTGGAACTAACAATACTGGATAATATTTTAGAATTTTATTAACCTATATTTTTGCCCACTCCCTACTTCCGTCTCCCCTTAAAGGAGCAAAAACAAAGCATTAGCATTATGGTCAAATTTTCAAAAACCCCATATGTTAAAATTAAGCAGAATCACTTCACCAATATTAGTCTTCTGAATACTACAAAACATGCACACATTAAAAGTTAGGCTCTTCTGAAACAAAAAATAATTTGCACAACATGTGGTATCATTCAGAATACTGAGCTGAGAAAAGAAAAATTTCTTAGTACAGAAATCCTTAAAGCTATAATCATTGAAATGAAAGATCATTGTGTCTCTGGCTGCTGGCAAATTAAAACAGTAAGATGCAGTAACTGCAGGCACATTATAAGACTGGATTATCTAAAGTGGAAACGAAAATAAATGTTAAAAGAAAAAGCAATAGAGATTTGTTCCCAAATGCCTAACTACACCCAACATAATACAAATCTGATATACCTAGTCATTAGAAGAACTATGTGTAAACTCAAAAGCTTGTTCCCCTCTCCAACAGAAGTTGTTCCACAAAATATACTACTTCACACATTTTGTGTCTCAAATTGTCAGTAACAGGAGCCTATATCAGGTTCTCCCATGTTTTTGACATCCATGTCTCCAAGAGAGAAGACTGTTAGTAAATATATACTTTCTTTGGTGGAGGGCTAATGAATCTTTTCAAGCACAAATGCCCACACTTAGTATTCACACCACCACCACCTGCTCAAAAAGGCAGGCTGCCTTGAAAATGTACTTTCTACTAAAGAAAAGCCATCTAATGTTGGGCTGCTGTTCCAAGTTAGCCCATGATCAGATGGAGTTTAACACCAGGTGTATTCCATCTCACAACAGCTCACTCTCTGCCTTCCCCGAAATGTATATTAATGAAACAACTACGTACAAAAGCTGTCATTGTTTAACTGCTGACAACAATTTTGTAATGCCTTAAAACATTCAGACTGCCCACCAGAATTCTACTGGCCGATCTCACCTATGAAGGGAGATTCTTTATCAGCCCCACAAAAAATTAATTTTAAAAATAGAATTAACTGTTAGCACCAGATGAAAGGCATATTTCTCAACTTAATGCTTCCTTAAGGCAAATACATGATACTTTTTCTATGATGAAACAGGAGGCCCTTCATTTCTCTCTCTTGACCCATAGATATCAATGTATCATTGACCCATAGAGGGTCAAGTAGAAGGAATTTCTCTTGACTTCAGCTCCATCGACTGGTTCTTGTTAGGACTCTCTGCTGGATTTAAGAGCCCTTTAGCATCCTCATTTCCCCCGTGAAAGCACTTACATAATAAAGTTCCTTCTTAATTTTCTTTATCATAAACTAGACAGATAGTGCTCTTTAAGTCTCTCAATATAAAGCATTTTCTCTAGCCTTTGAAACAGAATAGTACACCCTTTTCGATTTTCATCTTCCTTTTTAAAATGAAGATACCAGAACTCAGCACATTATGGCCTCCCCAATGCCATACACAGAGGGAAAAAATTGCTCTAATTCTAAACCGTCACTACTCTCCTATCATGTTAGCTTCTTTTGCCACAGCTTCACACTGCAAGCTCATGTTAATTTGCTTTTTCACTATGAACCTTAAATCCTTAGAGAGTCACTGAATACATTCCAGAATACATTTTTCCATTTTCTAAGCATGGCCTATGCCTTGATTCTGAATGTACAACCTTGCATTTAGCTATATTAAAGTATTTTATTTGAATGGACCCAGCTTACCAAGTGATGTGGATCACTCAGAATGACTACCCTGCCTCCTTCATTATTTACCACTTTACCCAACATTGTATCATTCACAAATGGTATTAATAGAGATGTTATCTTTACCTCCAGATCATTAATGAAAATGTTGAACAGCATTGGGCAAAGTATTGATCCCTAAAGTACTGAACCCTATTAAAAACACCTCTAACTCAATAATGACTCCCCCCAACAACTATTTTGTGAAATCTGGTCAATTAACTAGTTCTTAATACATTTAACAAATTTAATTAAAAGGTAACATTATGTATTAATTCATCTACACAGTTACCTTTTTCAATCAAAAAATCGGGTTTGACAAGATCTATTTTTTTCAACAAAACCTTACTTACTGGATTTGAGATAGATTTTAAAAGAAGTTTTTTGGTAATATAAATGGAAAATTAAAAGTAGTGTATTTCAAAATTTGCTTCCTACAAAATCTCAATGAATTACTATTAAAAGACTGAAAATTGCCACAATATTTAATCCTGTGATTAACTCACCTGAATTAAAATGATCATGAGAGGCAAAAAATCAACTGCAATTCACTAAAGGCAAAATTACCTACTTATGTTTATCGAGGGAGTAGGGATACCAGGATTGTTTTTAAAGTCAAGTGGTGCTTGAAAATTTGTTAATATAGTGAAGAAAAGCAAATATCTCGTAAAAAAAAACAACCTAAAGAAAACTCTAAAAACTTCAGGTTGGGAAAAGTTAAACCGGTGTGGGGATCCTAAGACCCGGGAGCTGGATACAGCCCCTGGGTTGCCTGCGTCTGGCTCTGAAAGCTTAAAGTCTCCCCCAGCATTCGTGAGCCTATGCTGGCACAGCAGCTCCCTCAACCCATGACTGATTTTTCTGTGGTCCCCCCACCCAAAGAAGGATCCCAACCCCCAAACTAACAAAATTACAGACTAACTTGGCTACCCCTCTGAAGCTTTCAATCTCCTAGAAACTCAGTAACAGATTTTTTTCTAAACTTTAAAAACAGACTTCACAGAGAAACTGAAGAGCTCCAATTCATTTGCAAACTTGACACTATTATTCTGGGTTTCAATAGCTCCTGGAATGGATGGCTCACTATAAAAGCAAGTTTCCCACACCCTCTCATCAACTATTGAAACTGGGCCACATCTATCCTGACTCAATTGGCCTCATTAACATTGGCTGTCCACTTGATAAGTGTAACACCCTTCTTTTATGTGCTAGTGCCTGCCTCTACAATTTCTGCTCTGTTCATCTGACTAAGTGGGGTTTTCCCCCTGAAAGCTTATGCCCAAATAAATCTATCAGTCTATAAGGTACCATGGGACTCCTCGTTATTTTTGCAGATACAGACTAAAAAGGTCACACTTCTGATATTTGTCTTCATTACCACTGAAGCTAGGACAGGAAATAATTGGTTTGAATTACACTAAGGGAGACTCAGGTTGGACATCAGAAAAAACTTCTTAATTGTACTACAATCATTAAAAACTAGAACTGAAAGGGACCTTGAGAGATCCTCAAGTCCAGTTCCCCGCCCTTACAGCAGCACCAAGCACCTACACCATCCCTGATAGATGTCTACCCAACCTGCTCTTAAACATCTCCACTGATGGAGATTCAACAACCCCCCTTAGATAATTTATTCCAGTGTTTAACCACCCTGACAGTTAGGAAGTTTTTCCTAATGTCCAAAAGAAACCTCCCTTGCTGCAATTTTAGTCCACTGTTTCTTGTCCTATCATCAGAGGCTAAGGAAAACAATTTTTCTCCTTCCTCCTTGTAACACCTTTATAGATACCTGAAAACTGCTATCATGTCCCCTCTCAGTTTTCTCTTTTCTCAACTAAACAAGCCCAATTCTTTCAGTCTTCCCTCATAGGTCATGTTTTCTAGACCTTTAATCATTTTTCTTACTCTTCTCTGGACTTTCTCCGATTCCTCCACATATTTCTTATACACAAGACTTGTTATCCTATCAAAGAAAGCTATCAGCAGCTCTGGGGTCAGGGAGAATCATGTCCTACCCTGCCTCTCAGCCAACCAGTGACAGGCAGGGGTGGGGTCTCCTCCCAGCTTCAGAAGAGCAGTTCGCTGCACGGTGGGAAGGCTGCACAGAGCGCGGCACGGCAGCCGTGATCTGGACAGCAGCACTCAGCTGGCAGGCAACAGAGCTAGGTGAGCAGCTAATGCTGGGGGACTCTGAGGTGAGGGGTCTAAGAGGCAGGGGACTCATGCTGGGGAGCTCTGGGGGCACAGCTAATTTTGGGAGGCTCTAGGGGCAGGGCTAATACGGAGGACCTCTAAGAGGCGTGGGCTGACACTGACCAGCTCTGGGGGTGGGGCTAGTAGTGAGGGGGCTACAGGGAAAGGGCTGGCACTGTGGGGCACTGGTGACAGCGCTAACATTGGAGACCTAGAGGTTGGTACGGGAAGGGCCATGGTGGAGTTGGGTACAGTGGGGCTCTGGAAACAGGAGGCTGGCATTGGGGGGGTGCAGGGGACTCTGGGGTCAGTGCCTGGCATTGGAGGGTAATGGAGAAATGTGGGGGACTCTAAGGGTTAGGTCTGGCACTGAGGGACTCCGGGGGCTGGGGCTTTTTATACTGGGGACTGGCAAACCCCTTCACAAACTTTTGGCAGACAAGTAACTTTTTATTTGCATATGAATATGCAAATATGCAGATAAAACATTACCAGTCCACCAAAAGTTTGTGAATGTGTTTGCTGGTCCATGATATAAAAAAGGTTGGGAACTACTGGTCTAATTAATATATAGCCCTGCCTCAATACAGGGGACAGGATGAAGTGACCTGTCAAGGTCCCTTCCAGTCCTACATTTCTATGATTTTATGATGTATGAGTAAATTCTATACATGATGAGAAAAACGCTGGCTATGAGAATCATATCAGTAGCCATAGGTGCGCCATGTTAAATCCCACATATCACGTTGAAGATGTGTCCCTAAACATTGCATGATAATAATTTTCAAATAGGTATCCGTTCCACCCTCTGATTTTGAAAGATCGTATGAGGATCACACAGAAATGTTGGCCAAAATAAAACACTCTACTCCAAACAAAAGAGGAGTTTGCAACTAGATTTAGAATATAAGATTCATCAGTAAGTGACAGTCAAGGTCAATTTCTCTGTACACCCCCAAACCAATACAAATATGTGCATCTATAATAAATGAAATGTATAGATATGCAAAGAAATTAAAATACCACTTCTGACCTTAGAACTTAATCCAAGAATATTTACTTTGTATGTTTTTACCAGTAATGTAGGTTATTTGGTTTTTTTAAACAGTGATGAAGTTTTAGCTTTTTTAATTTCTAGGTCTACTGCCATTAAATAATTATTTTATGACTCCCATAGTATCCAATGCCCACTATAATTTCCTCATGTGTGAAGATTTGACATTGGTAAAAATCTAAAACAATACGCAAAAATAAAGTCATTTTTTTAATAAAAGTGATGGGTATCATATTATGTCAAGCCTACTTACCATCACTGAGGTCTTGCAGAAGGCTTTCCTGACAGGAGAAGTCTAGCTTCACTTTAATGTTTACATTAAATGTTGCAATCTTTCCAGGTTTGAGAGGAAACTGGGATAGGGTGTCTTCTAGCTTCCAACTCAGGAACTCACCATAGAGCTTTTCTATATTAAAAATGTACATAGTATATATAAGCATATGCACAAGAAGAGCACTAAGTTTTAAAATCAATACAAACAAATATCACGTTATATACCGGGTATAGATTATTTCTTTTCATTTTCTGTTTCAATGTGTGAACGTATTTGGAATTAAAGCATAAACAATTTAATTAATGCAGACAGGCCTGAGCAGGGCTGATGACACCAAGTGAAAGAAAAAGATGTTTACCCAGGAAACCAAAATACAAACTTTATTCAAAAGAACATCAAAAGAAACCCCTAGATGATGACCAAATTACAAGCAGCATGAAATGTACTTTTGCCTCTTCGAAGTGCAGCCTAAAAGTGAACTAAAGTAATCTTTATGCACTACTTAATCATAATCCACCCACCCCCAAAAAAACTAAGACAATCAATTCCAAAGTCAAATCCATTATTATTTCAGAGTGTCTGCAATTTGGAAATGGTCGGGGCTTCTTTGTTTTGAAAATACTTGCACAACCAACAAAAATGGGGTTTGTCACTAGATGTAATTTTTTTTCCCCCATCTGAAATCATCAAGTGGCATCATTGTGCTGCTTAGTGCCAAGGTTTCATTCAGTTTTCTCTGTGCTGAGATAGTAGGCTTAGCTTTGTTAAGGGTGTCTTCTTTAGAGCTAAATCACAGCAGGGCGGGGGCACCCTTTTGCTCCTTAGGCTGTCTCAATGCCCGTCAGTCCTTGGTTCTGGATGCTGACAGTACTGGGGCAGATTTGGCAGTCAGGTATAGGGATGTTAAATTGCGGGTAACCAGCTAATCTAGTAGTTGATGGAATTTCCATTGACTACTCTAATAATCGATAAGGTGGAAACTGCAAAGCCGCAATGGGGTTAAGCTCTCCAGCCTAGAAGCTAACACTGCTGTGGCTCTGCCTTTTAAATGTATTAAGAGCTGCCAGGCTCTTGATACATTTAAAAAGCAGGTGCACAGCCGAAGGCACCAGGAGCAAGCCAGGACAGCTGATTCCTGGCTCGCCCCTGGTCCCCCTTGCGAGTTTGGGACCGGGCACAGCCAGCAAACAGCTGATTCCAGGCTTGCACCCGTTCCCCCTCTTATACCTCTGCCTCTTTTGTCCCCTCAGAGACTCTGATGGGGGGGAACCAGCTTTTCACTGCTACTGGAAATCTCCAGCTAGAAGTGCAGGGCCACACAGATTCCTGAAGTGGAGCACCCACAGGGACGCTCCTCAAAGAAGGAATCAAGAGAACAGGAAAAGGACACAATCTCTCTCTCTCTCTCTCCTGCTGGGAAGTGTCTTTGATTAACCAGTTGTACAAGGAGATGTGAATTCCTTGTTTTCTTAAATATACTGCCACAGCCAATACTCTGGAAGCTGTGGAAAGTCCAAAAGACAGCACCATTTATTCATCCATGAGGGAGATCAAGTGCTGGCTCTTCCTGCAGCAGGTTGCCAAGGAACTCTGCTAGCATGGCACAACTGCTGAAATCTTACTTCACCACCACAGCCTAGTAGTTTCCAATGAAAAACTGTAATACTGCTGAGAGGCATAGACCTTCCTGTCCAATAGGTCCAGGAGCATCACAGCACAGTGTGGAGGAATCAATTTATGTGGGTTGGTGGGCGCATTCCCATTGCCACATGCACCATAATGGAGCCGGCAAGCAGCAGGCAGGTGAAAAAAAGGAAAAAACTACCAGAGTTCTGTCCTTTTAGGCATGGGAGAATAGCAACTTAGCATGCCTGCTCTTGCAGGACTAACATTAACCATAAAACTTCAACTACAACAGTAAAATGAAACAGCCTTGGGGTCAGCCTCCCCCTGTGTGGCTAATGAGGGAGTAGGCCTGACCTAGATGAGCAGGGTTTAAAAGCCAGAGCGACCAGGGGAGTGAAGCAGACAGGGGGCTGCCGACAGGGAAGTTGGGAGATCCCACTGCTGAACAGGCCAGCAGGAGTGTACTAGCCTTGGCGTGAGTAAGGTTGCTCTACTGTTTGCATTTTGTTTCTCTTTCTGTTCTGTTGCAGGTTGTTTCAATTACTGTGGCAGTTGTGATTGTGTGAGTGGGAGTATTTGATCTTTTGTTCCCTTGATCCCCGTATGGCTAACAAGGAGGTAGGCCTGACCTAGATGAGCAGGCTTTAAAAGTCAGAGGCAGAGTGACCAGGGGAGTGTATAGAGGGGGCTATAGACAGGCGAGTCCTAATATGGTTAGAAAGACCCACAACATCTGTGCCAGCACTGTTTCTGTCTCCTCCATCTGCACTTGTAGCCAGACAGGCCAGCTGACCATGGATGCCTCTACCCAGAACCTGGTGTGGTTTAGTAGGAACTAAGGCTTGCAATTCCCACTTACTGAAATCCAGACTGGGGAGACCATCCAGTGTGAAAGGTGCCTCATGGTGCAATCTCTCAGGAAGCAGGTAGGAGAGCTACAGGAGAAGATGGCTAGGCTCAAGAGCATCCAAATCCACGAGGAATTCTTTGAGATCATTCATGTGCAGACCTCATTGCAAAAGATGGCTGACACCACAGGTGAAGGAGGAGATAGCTCTGACTCGGGGGGAACACTAGCAGCTGGTCACTTCTGGCAGCGGGCAGTGCTCCACCCCTGCTGCCAACCTTCCTACCATAGCTCTGGAGAACATTTATGCTGTTCTGGATACAGGAGATAAAGTATCACCCCCTAAAGCAAAGCAGGGGAAGCCTTGTACCCCCAAAGACTCTCCTCTGAGGGGGATGGAGGCACCCATCTCTCACCCTGATGTCATCTCAGGAGATATGCCACCTGCCAGAGGTCCGTATCCAAGATGTTATAGAGGCATTGTCAAGAATTATCGAGTCTTCTGTCAAATACTCCATGCTACTCATCCATGTGGGCACAAATGATACTGCAAGGTGCGATCTTGAGCAGATCAAGAGTTACTAATGGGAGGTCTCTGGGAGCATGGGTGAAGGACTCTGGAGCACAGGTGGTGTTCTCTTCAGACTTTCCTGTCAAAGGTAGAGGCTCAGGCAGAGACAGGTGCATCCTGAAGAGGTGAATGCCTGGCTGCGAAGATGGTGTCACCAGGAGGGATTTGGCTTCCTTGACCACAGGATGCTGTTCCAAAGAGGACTGCTAAGCAGGAAGGAGAAGAGAGTATTTGGAGGCAGACTGGCTAACCTAGTGATAAAGGCTTTAAACTCTGTTAGATGGGGGCAGCTGACCAAAGCCTACAGGTAAGTGAAAAACATGGAGACCTGCGAGATGGCTCAGAAATGGGAGGGAGCATGGGCTATAATAGCAGAGATAAAGAAGGGACAAGGCAGAACTGGGGGGGGGGCAAAATCAAATCAGTATCTTAGATGCTTATATACAAAGGCAGTTTTGGAACAGGTTCTGTTCAATATCTTCATCAATGATTTAGATGATGGATAGAGAGTACGCTCATTAAGTTTGCAGATGATACTAAGCTGAGAGGGACTGCAAGTACTTTGGAGGATGGGGTCAAATTTAGTTTGCAGATGATACTAAGCTGAGAGGGACTGCAAGTACTTTGGAGGATGGGGTCAAATTTAAAAAGGATTTGGACAAACTGGAGAAATAGTCTGAGATAAATAGAATGACGTTTAATATTGACAAATGCAAAGTAATCCACTTATGAAGGAACAACCCATTTCATACAGATAGAGTCGGAAGTGATTGTCTAGAAAGAAGTACTGATGAAAAGGATTTACAGGTCATAGTGGACCCCAAGTGAAATATGAGTTAACAATGCAACACTGTCACAAAAAAAGCAAACATGATCCTGGGATGCATTAGCAGGAGTGTTGTGAGCAAGACATGAGACCTCATTTTCCCGCTCTATTCTATGCTCATTAGGCCTCAATTGGAGTATTGTGTCTAGTTCTGGGCACCACATTTCAAGAAGGATGTGGAGAAATTGAAGAAGGTCCAAAAATGATTAAAGGTCTAGAAAACATGACCAATGAGGGAAGACTGAAGGAATTGGGCTTGTTTAGTTCAGAAAAAAGACAACAGAGGGGACATGATAGCAGTTTTCACGTATCTAAAAGGGTGTTAACATGGAAGAGGAAGAAAAATTGTTCTCCTTGGCCTCTGAGCATAGGACAGGAAACAATGGGATTAAACTACAGCAAGGGAGGTTTAGATTGGAAATTAGGAAAAACTTCCTAACCATCAGGGTGTCTAAACACTAGAATAAATTGCCTAGAGAGGTTGTAGAATCTCCGTTTCTGGAGATATGTAAGAGTAGGTTGGATTGACATCTATCAGGGATAGTGCTTGGTCCTGCCATGAGGTCTCTTGTTCCCTTCCAGTTCTAGTAGTCTATGAAACAGCCACTGATATCAATCACTTATTACCAAGAAAAACAAGGACCAAAAAGAAAAAGAGGGTTCAAAGTTCTGATCCCACAGTAGCCACAAGAAACAGCAGTGGGGTCAAGACAATGGCACCTCAATAACCTAAGGGAACAAATGTGCAGTTACAACAAGAGAGTTCCAATTTCTGTTTTGAATGTACATTTAAAACAAAGAGTTTAATAGCTACAAGTGTAAAACTGAATGTTGTCAGTGTTCTCAGATGAAAATTAATTTGCATCTTGTATTTCATAGTCAATTTATTAATGCTGACATCTCATAGCAACTACAGAATATAATTGACAGGAACTGCTTTTGTGTGTATTTTAGAAACACATGATTTGTTCAAAGAAATCTAATTCCAATGTGAAATGTATTGCATCTGGGGATCAAAATATAATATGAATGACTGGTTTAATTTTTCACCCATAAATATGTTTGTTTGAAACAGCTACAATGTAGGGAGGCTTTTCATATTAGACTAAGGTGGGAGAGCAAATATCATTGAATCACAGGGTTGGAAAAGACCTCAGGAGGTCATCGAGTCCAATCCCCTGCCCAAAACATCCCAACTAAATCATCCCACTAGGGCTTCATCAAGCCAGTACTTAAACACGTCTAAGGATGGAGATTCTACC